CTTCATAATAGTCCTTAAAGAGACACTTGAAAAATGTATAAATGCACCCAAAATGTTTTACACTTTGTATGTATTAAAATTGTATTATTTTGAAAATGAACATGTATATAATATATATAATACAATATATTTCGCTGCTGTCGGAAGAAAACCTCGTATCTCCATTTTTGACATTTTTCAGTTTTTGATATCATTTGAAAATGCAAGTTACACTTTACATTGTGTGTAAATTTCATGATGAATGGACTAAAAGAAACAGCCCGAAATGACTTGGAAAAACCACCTGGTTCCATTGACTTACATTAAAAGTAAAGTAGGTTTTTTCCTTCTCCTGTAAAGTTACCATTTTGGAGATACAAGGTTTTCTTCCGACAACAGCGATATGTTGTTTTTGCAGCGTAGTTTTCATATATGAAGTGGGGAGTGAATATATTTTGACACTTTAACACTGTTCTTCATGGTATACGTTGTATATATAATATAATATATATCACTGCTGTCAGAAGAAAACCTCATATCTCCATTTTTGACGTTTTCTAGTTTAGTTTTTGATATAATGTAAAAATGCCTGCTGGTCTTGAGTTTTCATCCCTCTAAAAGCAACTTCACAGAGAGTTATTACAATAAATGGCTATAAACACTCTGAGACGTCTGAGACGTTAGTTTTGTGATACAAATTTTGGCCTGAAACGTATTTTGACCAATCTATTTTAGTCTGTTCATGGTGGAGGGATACATGAAGGGTGTTCTAAGGCAAAACAGTCCCCAAAGAAAACTTATTTTTTCAGCTTTTCCACTATTTTACCATCATCAACATTACATATAAAACTCAGGAGACATGTAGGTTCACTGGTGGTTTTGGCTAGTGAATAAAATGGCTATATTTCGCTGCTGTCGGAAGAAAAGCTCATATGTCCATTTCTGTCATTTTTCAGTTTTTGACATAATTCGAAAATGCCTGTTGCCCTTTATATTGTGTGTGAATTTCATGATGAATGGACCAAAAGAAACAACCCAAAATGACTTGGGAAAAAGTCTGGTTCCATTGACTTACATTGAAAGTAGAGTAGGTTTTTTCCTTCTCCTGTAAAGTTACCAAGTTACCAAGCATATTAATTGTATTCCAAATTTATTTTCTATAAATGAACAGACTTTTTCACCAAGAACACCTGCGTTTCCAGTTTTTCAGGCTGGAGACCTGAATGCTGAATGCAGGGAGCCAGTCTACCAGTTCATGAGTTCTGCACTGGGTTAATTATCCTCACCTAAAAGATGTTAAGACAACGTTAAATAAGGTGGGATATAATTCAAACTGCAGCTCTTGCGATTTGAAAACTGCACTTTTTTTTAAATTCTAAAATAATTCATCTTTTATCTCAAAAATTTGGCATTTTTTTGTTCATTTTCCAAAAAATGATGACACTCACTTTTTACTACTCACGTGTATTTGTGAGGAAAGGAATCTACTTTTTATTCTGCTGCATTTTAGTCTTTAACATTTAGACACTAATTCTTTTCTGTGTTTGCTTTCCTTGTTCGGTTGACGACAGCATCTGTACTGCTTATTGATCGGTGACACCATCATTTTATTTTAGACCAAAAGGGAACAACAGCACATAAACTTCAGCTCCCAGGCTGACAGATGCTGGACGTACTAAGTTACACAGCTCAAGCTGTTTTTTGGGAAAGGTACCTTTATCCCACCAATGCAACAATACTTGTACTTGAGTACAGGTTTAAGTTACTCTACCCACTTCCAGCCATTTCTATGCTCATCTAACCTTCACCTCAGCATCTCCTCTGTCTTCTCTCCTGTAAACTAAGACCCTGATGAAGATTTTTCCCCCCGTTCTATATTCGGTTATTAACCAGCTCTTGCGTCCTCTGGAGCCTGTTCTACCCATTAACCCTCTGATGCTCTTTTCTCATGATAATCAGGCTGCTTCCCACAGAGGAGCCACAGGATTGTGCGACGCTTTGAGAAGAGTAAACCCCCCCCCTTGACGCACATGCTCTCTCTCTCACTCTCTCTCTCGCCCTCTCGCTCTCCCTCACACATACACACACTGAATCAGGCATGTAATGTGCTGCCTTTTCAGGGAGCACATGGACAGATGTAGTATGAAAAGTTCTGGGAGGTTTCTGTTGGAGAGAGTAACCCCACCCACAACTACACTTTTAAAAATAAAGGTTCCTAAACGGGTTCTTGGCTTGGATGTACGGTTCTAGGGGGAGAAAAAAACTTTAACTGGTATGGAACTTGTACATAATGCGGACTTTAAAAAGGTTCTTTACGCTCACGCGTCTCTAGTGTCTGTCTTCATGTTCCAGCACCTGATCTTAGATCTGCAGATACTGACCTTCTACAAACACCTACAGAAAATGTGGAGAGACTCGTTCAGTTATTCTGCTTCTCAACTGTGGAATTCACCTTTTATTGGACAGTCAAGCTCAGTGCTCACTTTTAATACGCATCTAGAAATCTCTAACTTAGTGTTTAATTAAAACTCCACGTCTCGTTGTGTTGATCTTTTAGTTTGATCTGTGTCGTTTTCTTGTGATTCTAAATTAATACCTATAATTTCTTGTATGACTTTTTTTATCGCCTGTCTGTAAAGCACTTTGAGCTGCCACCAGCATGAAAAGTGTTATATAAATAAAAATTATTACTATTATTATTATTATTATTATGACTATTACTATTATCTCCTTTGCAAAAATTGTCCTTTAAAGAATTATTCACTGAATGGTCCATTAGGGAACCAAAAGCGGTTCTTCTATGGCATTACCCTTTTTGACACCTATATTTTATAAGGGTTTTTTAAGTGTACAACTTTCATATCTGCTGCAATAATACATAAAACATATGAGGTGCCACATATCAGAAAAAGATGAAGGTGAAGAACACAGAAGTGGAGGAAAAGCTCATTTAGAAAACCAGCTTTGGGGGTCAGACACTGCAGCCTTCTGTAATACTGTAATATAAATACATGCAAGCATCACTTATATGAATTCACCAACTTTGCTTCTCCATGAAACCATTTAAATTCCCTGAATCAGCTGCGACAAAAGCAAAATGCAGAATTCACAGTTTTTGCCGGTTAAGTGCATTTAGCCCCAAAACTTCACCAAGTTTAAGGCCAGGCTAAAACCAGTCTGCCACCCATGCTGCTCACTGTAACGTCTCACACTCTGAAATATGCGTTTCAACTTGCAAACCCAGAGCAATGTCAATAACAAAAGCACCGTCTCGTGACGATCTCACTTCCATTTCCTTATTATGTAGCTCGAGGCAGTGGAAGTGGGGGCCTCGATGGAGCACGCTTGTGACAGAGCCACAAGCTCACAACTCCTCTTACAACACTGCTTTCCAACCCCGCCGTAAACCCGCTTTCTCGCGGCCACTATAAGACAGCACCAGTGCAAAGCCGCCCCAGCTTCTTCTCAATTCAGCTCAAGCCAAGGAACTACACAAAGGCATGCATCATTTCCCCCCTTTCACCCTCATGTGGACGCCCAAAGCACATGGACGCACAGCTACAGGTGTCATGGTTCATGAGTGGGAATGAAGTAGATTGTAGTCACATTAACATCAAATACATATTTATGAGTAAAGAGTGTTTATAACAGCACATAACTGGTTTATAGCTCTGAATTTCATATAAACAGCACTATACACGTTATTTACAGGATTTTTTTAATTGGATTAAGAGGGATGTCTCAACTTTTGTCATTCGAAGTTGAGGACAGTCTGCAGTCCCTATCAGTCTATGAGTGCACACATTTGAAAAGACAACAACTGGCGAAAAACGAAGCCTTTAAACGTTACATTTTTAAGGCTGGCGTTAATTAAAATGACTGTTTCTGCTAAGTTTAACCGCAAAGACGTTGCTGAGGGTGGATTAGGCGAACCGAGCTCGAACCAACGCCACAAAACAGCGCAGGAGTAAACAAAAACAAGCGAATATGTAATGAGCTAATCTCCTACATGTGAGGTAAACCCACCCCCCCAATTTCTGACGTTACCCCGTTTAGGGGGAACACACACACATACACGTACACGTACACGTACTGAGGCACACAAACAAACTCACACACAACAAAACTACAAAAAAAGTCTCAAAGCCTCACAATCCGGCCACCAACGTCCGAGCAAAACGGCGAACACGACAGACAGGCAGACGGACAGACAGAAGGCAGAGGAGAAGGTCTTCCACAGCACGCGCACGGCTCGAGCGAAACGGCGAAAACATCTTACCGTCTTATATTTAGAGCCTCTATCAAGCCGAGAACTATTCATAGAGTGACACGGGAGATTAACGGCCCGAAAGGAAGCGAACAAACGAAAAAAAGACACAAACAAACAGGCAAAAAGGTGACGTTTCACGCGGCGGCTCGCGACTCTCCTCGGCGGAGCTCGTGCTCGTCTCCTCGACAAAGTTTTTTTTTCCGAAAAAGTGACAGAAAAATAAAGAGAAATTCCCGCGCCCGAGCCCAAAGTCACGGCCAGCATCGAAAAAACCCGAGCCGAAAAGTCTCCATTTAACCCAGCATTTTTAGAGAAGAGTTTGTTGTTGTTTGTTTGTTTGTTTGTTTGTTTGCTTTCCAAAAAGCCGAAGCGGCTCGCGCGATTAAACCCATTTAAATGCCAGCGGTTTTAGTGAAATAAGCGACGTCGAATCGGGTCGAAAGTGTGTGTGTTGGGGATGGTGAATAACAACACCGGGGTCCGCGATATAAAACCGTTCTACATCGATCATCGACGTGATCCGCCGTGTTCGTTATCCGAGCGTCATTTCTGATAAACAAACGGCTTCAAAGGCGAGCGTGCAGACGGCAGAGCCTGCAGACACGTTCAGGAGGAGCTGCACAAAAACACGGCAAGCGAGCAGTTACAGCAGTTACCCACCAAAAAAAACTTTCCAGCAGCACCGCATTAGTCAATTTCGCGAGGAAAAGCTCCGGTAACATTCCATCAGCCGGCCGAGCGCAAAACCTACCGTGGGAGAGCCCACGCCGCCGTCCCCGCTCTGCTCCTTCTCCTCCCGCTTTATCTTTCTGTTATTTTGTTTCCTATTTTTTTCTTTAATTTTTTTTTCGCTGCTTTTTTTTGCGGGGCCTGAGTGTCTCGCTCTCCTCAGGCTGCAGCGCCAGAGTTATGGGGCGCGAGCATTGTGGGAGTGTGACGTCAGAGCCACTTTCACAAACTTTTTCACTGGCGCTGGTAAACTGCAACTTTTTTTCCTCTGTGTCTGTGCTTTTTTTTTTCTTTACAATGCGTTATAAATGATGAATAACGTGCATAGTTACAGCTTCAGTCAGTGCAATTTATATTCGGACTCGGATGGTTTGAGGCTCTGGGCTTCTGAAAGGTCTTACTGTAAATGTATTTAGTGATCAATTAAGTAGAGAAGATTTTTTTTTTTCTGGAGGGGTCCTATTATTTGAGGTGAAAGGGGGTCGCTTGGTTTGCTGCGGGAGTTATTTAGGAGTTAATATCGAAAAAACGGTGAGGGATTTGAACAGGATTCGGATTCTGCAGGTCATTAGTCGCTGGTGTCGTTCAAGGAAAGTTGCGTTGAATTTAAAATGAAATATTTTAAATATTGCCTGGCACATTTTCATTCATTTTCTACGCATTAAATGTAAGCAGCCATTTTATGTTTTATTAAATGAACTTATGACCGCGTTGATAATATATAAACACAGTTAATTGTGACATTAAGATGCACGTTGCATAGCATATATGCATGTATATCATATACAGCATGCATATTATTATAATATGAGGAATATAACAAACATTTTCCCGCTGAAAATCAATGCGAGTGCCCTGGAATTGACATATATATCAGTGTGGACGTTTATATGGGGCGTAGACGTTTCATATAAACAAACAAACAAGCAGCAAGACTTTTAAGGGGAAACAACATTGGGGGGGGGTTAAGAGTTCATAGAGTTGCATGATGAAATTGTTTGATTGGATTGCACGCAGGTCCTGGTGGTGGAGATGCTGCCGAGAGAGAGAGTAATGAGGGGTGCCTCCCACGTGTTCATCCCCTCTCTCTCTCTCTCTCTCTCTCTCTCTCTCTCTCTCTCTCTCTCTCTCTCTCTCTCTCTCTCTCACTCACTCACTCACTCTCCCGCTACCTTGTGTTTTGGGGCGAAAGAATCACTTCCAGGGCATCCAAGCCCATTTCCTCAGCACCCCGACCCCCTCCCCACGACCCACCCTTCTGGATGGATGTGTTTGTGAGAGAGTGTGAGAGTGAGTGAGTAGGGGGTTGGGGGTTGTCTTCAGTGAGGCTTTCAGCTCCATGCTCAGGCGAAAAAACACGTTTCCAAGGTTTTTACGTTCAAAGCAGGCGGCTCTCCCCTCCAGGGAGCCATGCTGGCCCCCCAAGACACCGCAGCAGCGCTGGCAGGGAGCATTTCACCTCTCCTTCGACTTCCCTCACTCATTTGTTCGGTTTGACGGGGGTTTAGCCCGTCATTGATCCGAGGCTCGTCTTCCAAAGAGCGGGTGGAAAACGCCAAGACATCCATTCATCGTCGGAACCGATAATATCAGCTTTGAAAGCGGAACTTTTGTGTTCTTCATTTGTAAGAGGGAGTAATTAAAAGCTCTCCCTGCGGATTCACACCTTTTTCTCTAATTATTTCTTTTTCATTCGGGCTTTTAACTACCTTTTAAAATTATTTGAGCTGGTTTAAACCCGACCTCTTGTTTTTGGGGCTGAAACCAACCGACTACAGAGGTTTCCAGTGTGGTAGGAAAAATCTGCACAGAAATCGAGCGAGGCTGTTTTTAATTGGACGATTTTAACGTTTTCTTGCTGTCTTCTCACACTTGAGACGGAAACGGCTAATTTAGTCACATTAATTTAACCTAACTTGAGCTAAACCATGTTAATTAGACCTCAGTATGGAAGGGCTCAAAATGTGAATGCCATAATTAAAGTCTTCATAAAAATTGAAAAAAAAAAACCTTTTGTAAAGTCTATCAGCAGTTATTTACCTTAGAAAGCTGTCCTCAATGGCTGCTGATATACAGTTACACCTAAACAGCATGGAAGTGCTCAAACTTTGAATGCCATAATTAAAGTCTTCATTTTATATATATATATATATATATATATATATATATATATATATATATATATATATATACACACACCTTTTATAAGGTATATCAGAAGCCATTGTGGAGTTTAAGTTTACCTTAAAGTTCAAAGGCTGTCCATGATGGCTACTGATATATTTTATATGAGGTTTAATTATGTCAGTTACACCTAAACAGCATGAAAGTGCTTAAAATTTGAGTGGCATAATTAAAGTCTTTATATAATTTATATAAACCTTTAATAAAGTATATCAGCAGCCATTGTGGACAGTTTCCTACCTTAAAGTTAAAAAGCTGTCCTCAATAGCTACTGATATACTTTATTAAAGGTTTATATAAATTATATAAAGACTTTAATTATGCCACTCAAATTTTGAGCAATTCCATACTGTTTAGGTGTAACTAACATCATTAAACTTTATGTAAAGTATTTCAGCAGCCACTGTGGACAACTTTCTAAGGTAAGTAGCTGCTGATATACTTTACATAAAGTTTAATTGTGTCAGTTACACCTAAACAGTATGGAAGTGCTCAAAATGTGAATGCCACAATTAAAGTCTTCATAAAAAAGTTTATTAATCTTTATTAAATATATTTGCAGCCACTGTGGACAGTTTCTTACCTTAAAGTTAAAAAGCTATCCACAGTGGCTACTGATATACTTTTATAAGGTTTAATTATGTCAGTTACACCTAAACAGTGTGGAAGTGCTCAAAATTTGAGTGGCATAATTAAAGTCTTCATTTAATTTATATAAACCTTAAATAAAGTATATCAGCAGCTACTGTAGACAGTTTCCTACCTTAAAGTTAAAAAGCTATCCACAGTGGCTACTTATATACTTTTTATAAGGTTTAATTATGTCAGCTACACCTAAACAGCAAGAAAGTGCTCAAACTTTGAATGCCATAATTAAAGTCTTCATATATATATATATATATATGTATATATATATATATGTATATATATATATATATATATATTTATATATATGAAGGTATATATATATATAGATATATATATATATATATATATATATATATATATATATATATACCTTTTATAAGGTATATCAGCAGCCATTGTGGCTACTGATATATTTTATATGAGGTTTAATTATGTCAGTTACACCTAAACAGCATGGAAGTGCTCAAAATTTGAGTGGCATAATTAAAGTCTTTATATAATTTATATAAACCTTTAATAAAGTATATCAGCAGCCACTGTGGACAGTTTCCTACCTTAAAGTAAAAACACTGTCCACAATGGAAACTGATGTACTTTTTATAATGTTTACTTATGTCAGCTACACCTAAACAGCATGAAAGTGCTCAAAATTTGAGTGGCATAATTAAAGTCTTCATATAATTTAGAAACAAAGAGCTAATTTAATTACAGTAATTTAACTACAGCTAAACCATGTTAATTACACCTAATCAGTGTGGAAGTGCTCAAACTTTGAATGCCACAATTAAAGTCTTCATAAATATATCAGCATATCTCAGTCTATCAGCAGCCACTGTGGACAGTTTCTTACCTTAAAGTTAAAAAGCTGTCCACAATGGAAACTGATATACTTTACGTAAAGTTTAATTATGTCAGTTACACCTAAACAGCATGAAAGTGTTCAAAATTTGAGTGGCATAATTAAAGTCTTTATATAATTTAAATAAACCTTATATAAAAATATTTTAACAGCCATTATGGACAGCTTTTTACCTTAAAGTTAAAAAGCTGCCCACGATGGCTACTGATATACTTTATAGAAGGTTTAATTATGTCAGATACACCTAAACAGTATGAGAGTGCTCAAAATGTGAATGCCACAATTAAAGTCTTCATAAAAAAATTTATAAAGCTTTTTATAAAGTATATTAACAGCCACTGTGGACAGTTTCTTACCTTAAAGTTAAAAAGCTGTCCACGATGGCTACTGATATACTTTACATAAAGTTTCATTATGTCAGTTACACCTAAACAGCATGAAAGTGGTCAAAATTTGAGTGGCATAATTAAAGTCTTCATATAATTTATAAACAAAGAACTAATTTAGTTACAGTAATTAATCTAACTAAAGCTAAATCATGTTAATTAGACCTAACCAGTATGGAAGGGCTCAAACTTTGAATGCCATAATTAAAGTCTTTATAAAAATCATATAAACCTTATGTAAAGTATATCAGCAGTTACTGTGGGCAGTTTTTTACCTTGAAGTTAAAAAGCTGTCTACGATGGCTACTGATATACTTTATATAGAGTTTAATGATGTCAGTTACACCTAAACAGCATGAAAGTGCTCAAAATTTGAGTGGCATAATTAAAGTCTTCATATGATTTATAAACAAACATATTTTTTCATGTAATATAATTTATAATCAAACAGCTTATTTAGTTACAGTAATTAATCTAACTAAAGTTAAGAATTCTAAATGCCATAAAGTCTTCATAAAAATCATATAACCCTTATGTAAAGTATATCAGCAGTTATTGTGGGCAGTTTTTTACCTTGAAGTTAAAAAGCTGTCCACGAAGGCTACTGATATACTTTATACAAAGTTTAATTATGTCAGATACACCTAAACAGCATGAAAGTGCTCAAAATTTGAGTGGCATAATTAAAGTCTTCATATAATTTACATAAACCTTACATGAAAATATATTTTAGCAGCCATCATGGACAGTTTTGTACCTTAAATAAAAAAAGCAAACTTTTCATGTTTACTTTTAATGTTAATGTAACTTTTTAAGAAGGATCAAAGTGTAAAAATTTATATTAATTTTATAAGATTGTGCTAGCTCCAAAGTATCTGCAATATCTGGATTAAAAAAAATGACTATTCTATTCAACTTTTTAAACAAAATTATAAAAAGTTTTTGGTGATAGCTAAATTAGTCAAAAAGAGGAATTACACTAAAGACTGAAAGGTTTCAAGTTGGTCAGTAATGAGGTCAGTCCAGTCTTAGAGGAAATGTGTACACTGCTCCTATTCAAAGAGCTTCATTGATTGTTTCAGGAAAGGTACAAAA